CCCAAAAGGCACAAATAGGAATTGTGCGCTTGTTCTAAAAGGGAGCTGAATGACTTTGTCTTTGAAATCATTTGTGAATTTATTATGTGATGTATTGTATTTATATAAGCAATTGCTTGGAAGCATACAGATGCCTCTTTTATATACCAATGTGATTTTTGTTTTTTGAGATTTGAATAGCCTGTGAATTTTATGATCTATGCCATTACTCATCCTTTTGCAGGGAAAAAAAATAAACATGTTTGATTTTAACTTATTTCTTGCCTATGTTCCCTAGTTTCCCTGGGACAGTACCAGTTGGCAGCTGCTTTAGCAGAGAAATACTGTGACTTTGATATCTTGGTACAAATGTGTGAGCAGACTGATAACCAAGCCAGACTACAACGTTATATGACCCAGTTTGCTGATCAGGTAAAGTTTATTTGGACAGTTGTATATTAAGTTGCATTAAAAATATTGCCAGTAAAACATGGAGGTTGTTTTTCAGGATCCAGTTAATAGGCATAGATATCTTAGATTGTTTTGTCCTCTCTTCTGTATTCCAGGAATACAGTGTTTAAGTATATCTAGAAGACCAGAAACACTTATATTAAAATGTGGTTTAACTTATTTTACTAAGCAGTATCTCTGTTCAGTTTCCTTTTGGTTTCCAGGATATGAACAGTTTTAACTGATCACTACAATTCCCTATGAGTTACTACCTGCAGCTGTTGTGTTCTTATGTGTCTTATTTTCTTTCTTCTGAGCACTTCCAAAAGACTATAAATGTTTGACACACCTGTATAGCATAATGCACATTGAATTCTCATCTTTTCTAACTGTTGCATGAATGAAGCAAGTTGCTTCTAAAGCCTTCTGTCTTCAGGAATTTTATTTAATGCCTGGTAGAAAAGTGATTCTTTAATCTGGTTTTATATTACAAAGGGAAACATGCTTTAGCCTAGAATCCTTTTAATTGTAGTGAGTTAGGTGACTGTTCAAAGTGTAGTAAAACCTAGTAACATACACAATTTGAGTTAAGATTTCACCATTAAATCAAGTTTTTGAATACATAATCTTCTATTTTCTGGTCAGTGACTGTACATGATATTAATTCTTAATGGAGGGTCAAAAGCTAGACCCTTGTGGCAAGCCTCCAAACTAAATATTCTGTTTTCACTGCCCATGGAGCATGCTTATGCATACCAGCAGGTGCTTCGTGCAAGAGGGAGATGCTTATAATTTGGAGCCAAGTTTAACACTACACAGTTGCATGGGAGATTTGTTAAGACAAGGTGGTCATTCTTTAGATCTTTGCCATAGTTCCAAATGCACACCATTTTACTCCTTTTTTTTACCTTTAGGCTCTTGTTACAGTTGTCATGCTTCCAGCAGTTAGTGACTGATTCTGAAGTCCTAAAACAGGCGGGGCTACCCTTGTACTTGAATTCAGCATTAGATAATTAATATACGTTGCTCCAATCCTTCTGTCCCTTACCCTCTTCCATGCTCAGCAGATTCTGGATCCTGACATACCAAAGAGAACAAGGTTAAGAGAGTAAGATTGAGACCTGAAGTTGTACGTAATACTAGTTTTCTCCCTGAGCAATGAAGGATGTCTAATGCTGCTTTGCAGTTATTGATTAAATATTTTCATGCCGCTTACCAGCTTAATACAACAGGATTTTATTAAATAGGTTAAGTTTAGAAAATTTTCTCTTCTTGAGCTGTTGATTCTCGATGATCACAACTGGAAAGCCCATGGTTAACATGGAAGTCAATCAGATTTGAACATAAAAGTGAAATAAATGTCTTGCAGTTCACTTCTAAAGAAGCATTTTAGCAGAAATGCAGGTCAGGCAAATTATTATTGACTTAAAGAATGTTACAGTAGCTCAGTGTTACTTAATCAAACACAAAGTAACACTAAAATGAGATTTTCCCCCCCCCCCCATCATTGAAAAAAGCAAAGAATTCACTTCTGTCTTCAAAAATATTTGCTAAGTAAGCTTATAGTTCAGTAGATTTATATGGCATGTTACAGAAAGGTAGGTTTGGTCAGACCAATATAGGCAGACCATGTCCAGTTCTGGTAACAGCATTTTAAAAAAAGCTGTTGGAAAAACTAGAAGGTTCAGGAAAACCACAAAAATGTGAGCAATAGAGAAAAATGCCTGTCAGCGAGTAACTTAAAGAACTGAATGTTTAACTCATCACAAAGAAGATGAGGGGCTGGCTTGATTAAACTGGAAATAATTTGATTCATAGAGAGAAAATATTGTTGACAAAAACATTACGCTTTCGAGGGTTTTATTTTTTTTGGAGGAAGTACAAGACAAGCCAAAGCCGGCTCGTCCAAACTATGCACTTGTTTATTGGGATAGTGATCAGACAAAATTACTAATAGCAGCTATGTACAGTAGAGAATGCACAGATATACTGACTACTGGGTGGCAAGGTCTTGGGGCCTCCATAATCTGTCCTCATAGTTGAGGTAAGTTCCAGAGTCTGACGCATGCATTTGTTTGCAGTTTTATACCATTCATATTTAAACTTATGTTCTTACCCATTTCTCAGAGAACACTGTCTTAGCCAATGGAGTAGGGAAGCCCTGAGTCCTGACCTGTAGCCATTGTTCTTACCTGGGGTCATTAACTAGTGTCATCACTGGCATGTACATCTCAGCTTGCTTACTAGAGACAGTACTTCATATCATTGATTTCAGGTTGGGCTGCTTCTGGGATGAGTCTGTCTGGAGGAGGAAATGGTGATACACTCAACACTAAACAGTTTGGGGGCCTTGGGACTCGCCAGCAAAAGGATTGCTTAATTTAACAAAGGTGTAAGAATCAGTGCTTAGAAGCTAAAGCCAGACAAATGGGTGCACATTTTTAATAGTGAGGTTGATTAACTGCTGAAATTTACCATGGGATGTGGTTTTTCCATTTTCTGATACCTTTACATTACAACTCAGTGCCATTCTTAAAGGTATGCTTTAGCCAGCTACAATGTACATACATGAAGCTGGGTTCTAAACTAGCTGTTAACTCAGAAAAGAGACGTTGGAGTCATTGTAGCTAGTTCCTTAAGAATGCCAACTCAGTGTGCAGCAGTGACCAAAAGAGCCAATAAAATGTTGGGCACTGTTAAGAATGGAATTGAGAACAAAACGGAAAACATCATCATGCCATTATATAAATCCATGGTGCAACTGCATCTTGAATACCGTATGCAGTTCTGGTCCCTGCGTCTTAAAAAGGGTGTAGTAAAATTTAGAAAAGGTACAGAGTAGGGCAATCAAAATGATCAGGGCCTGTCTAATCCCCTTCCCCTGCTCAGTCTGCTGCTCTTCTGTGCTGCCTGCCTGCTCTGTTGCTTTTCTTTTTTTATTCCTTTTTGTGCACCCTGCCTGACTTGCTGCTTTGCCTTCTGCTTCCTGCTCTGTCTCCTGCTGTGCTGCCTTTCCCCTCCTTCATCTGTCACGTGCCACATAGAGGCTGCCTGTGCCATTCATGGCACCTGTGCTGCAGATGACCACCCATCCCTGTGCTACTGTCCTTTGTTTAGTCCTTTGTGTATTGGTGGGTATTACTAAGTCTATTAGAATAAGTCAGGTCTGGTAAATGAATGCATTTATTTTAGTTGCCCATAAAAATGTAGATGCTTTTTTGTATAATGAATATGTTACTTTTAAAAGAATCAAAAGGTGTAACTGTTAAAGCAAGTAAGTTTTTATGCTGAGTGTGTTCCCCTTGAAGCAAAAATGATGATGAGTAAGTTTTATAGCTTAAAATATAAAGAGAAGAGTTTACGTCCTCTTGTATGTATTTTTATCAGAACAGCAGCTTTTTCATCAATATCTTAATACTTGATTTCTTTTGGTTTTTTTAAGCAGGTATTTTGTGTTCTAGTCCATTTTGAATCCTACATCATTTCTCCTTGAAACAAAACAGGATGGTTGAAAACTGACAACAGTTTTAAAGTGCTCATACCTCTGTCATCTTCAGAATTTTTCAGACTTCCTGTTCCGGTGGTACTTAGAAAAAGGAAAGCGAGGAAAGCTGTTATCTCAGCCTGTTGCTCAGCATGGACAACTGGCCAGTTTTTTGCAAGCTCATGAACATCTTAGCTGGTTACATGAAATAAATAGCCAGGATTTGGAAAAGGTAGGATTTCCTAGTACAAAATGAACTGATTATATTTGTTAGGAAACTTTTAGTTTGACTGTTTTCTTGTATACACATGCACAAGGGTAAAAAATACCAGTCATGGCTCTTTATCATCATTGATCGATATTTTGGATCAAGAAACCTTTAATTAAATTCACCGTGTAAGTTAAGATAGGAGTTTACAGTAAGCATCTCTGATTTTTCTCAAGTCCTTCAATAAAAAACCAAGGAAACCTCACCATTTTTTGTACATTACAAAAAGCAAATAGCTGGTCCAGTTTTGAAATCATTTTCAAGTTATCTTTTAAACGTGAGTACAAGCAATATGTATATAGGTGTTGAAATTGGGATCCGTTATAAATCATTTGATATCTCTTGGGATCTCTGAAATTTTTCCCTTGTCGCCATAGTGGGTGCCTAATTACCCTCCCCCTGCTTCTACTGTTCTTGTTTTTATCTGCCTCTTCTCTTGGATTTCATAGACCTACTTCCCTCCATCTAGTGTCTGAGAAGAATTCCCTATGGTGTTAGTGATTTCCCAGCTATTAAAAACTATTAATTTCAGTTCAGATGCATACATATGAAATAACAAGAAGCCTGTTTGGTAGGATATGTTATTTCAGTGACCATACAAATTGAATAACTTGAAAATCTTGTCTACTTGCATACAAGATGTATCCAGTTGGTAAAGGTTGGTAGTAGTTTAAATTTCAGCCACTCTTGTTTTCTCAAGTGATCCTCTCTTCACAGAAACTGGGGCTTTGTTTTTCAAAGTATGATGAAAAGAACTGGGAACTCAGAGTAGAAGTGAATCTCTTGAGAATATATATTAATTACAAAAATTAATTTAGCTGTTTGCCATATCTGGCATTCCAGATAAATAGGCATTTCACTCATTAGCTCAGGATTGTACATATAGTTCAGTTCCTTACAAAGTATGCATTCTGTAGGTAATAAGTGCCTCATTCTACATATAAAAAAACTAGAACTCTTGGTTCCAAAATGATACCTTTTATCAGACCAACTGGAAAATCACAAGAAAATTGTCCTTTTCTGCAAGCTTTCAGGATCCAGGTCCCTTCATCAGGCTCTGGGATCAAACTCTTCCTTAAAATCGTTCTTCTTCCATTGGTACGTGTTGATTAATGAAGCTTTAGAAAAACAACAAGTCCAGAAAACTTATTGGATACAGTAGTGGTTCATCAGTGCTCATGAGATGCTCTTTTTTGACCAGCACACATTAAATTGCTAGGTATCACATATCCTGGTGTAGGAATAGACATGTGATTTTTCTTCCTAAGCAATCCAAAGCAAAACTAATTCCAAGCCTTACAATAGGAGTATTATAACCTATGAAATATAATTAAAAATAAATACCCATGAGGATTTAGTTTATTTTAATGTTTTCTGTGTCGTCTTCACTTCAGGCTCACAGAACCCTACAGACTTTGGCAAATATGGAGACCCGGTATTTTGCAAAGAAGAAAACACTTCTTGGCTTGAGTAAACTAGCTGCATTGGCATCTGACTTTTCAGAAGATGTACTGCAAGAAAAAATAGAAGGTAATAAGAGCAAAGTGGGGGGAAAAAAAGCTCATTAATTTCTTTAATTTGAATCCCGTTAGTGTTACACATGATAGCAAATTCTGTAATGGTGAGGGCTTGGAAGTAACTATAAAAGTGGTCATAGTGCATTGGACTGAAGGCATTAGTTAAAGACTTTACGTAGCAAACTACATTATATAGCTGCAGAAGGAACAAAAAAAGTCTTGTACTCAAGTTTTGGAAGCTAAAGCCGTTTTCTTCCTCAGTTAAAATTGTATATGTGTTGCTGTTTGTAATGTAAATTTGGGATCTTAATTATTCCATTTATATTATTTTACTCTATTTTTTAACATTGGGGTTTTAGAACAGTCTGATTCGCTGTTTAATACTTTAAGGATGAAAGAGAATAACTTCCATGACTCATTACCAAGTACTACTTGTATCCTATAATCATACCCCAATTTTTAAAGCTGTAGGGGTTGCTGCTAGGTTATGTCAAGGCAAAGAAAATACCCTTTGCATGAGTAATTTCTGAATCACTAACCAGTAGGGGGAACTTTATCATCCCTGAATTCACCTAATCCTTAATTCAAGAAGAGCCATGCATTTCTTGTTAGTAATTATCTGTTAATATTTGAATAGTAGTTCACTGTATATTGGTACTGTTGTCATTTTAACTTCACATTAAATAAAATGCTCAGTCTGGAAGCATTTAATACTTCTTAATTTATATAGGAAAGTGAAGAGTCCCTTCTGCAACCCCAAACAAAAAATAACATAGGCTGTAAATGACAACTAAGCAAACTTCAAAGCTATGAGTTTTAGTTTTTAATAATCTTTAATGGCTGCCACTTTACTGTTTTAAATCAAAAGGGGGGGTAAAATTTGAAGCAAAAGATTTAAATTCATACATTGGTAAATGAACAACTAGACCAAAGAATAGCCATGTTCATGTGATGAAATACCTTTTTAAACGTACTTAAATGAGCCGTAGAGGGAGAGAGTGACCTTGTGGTGAAGAATCAGGGACTCGGGATATCTTGGTGGCGGTACCTGTCTTTGCCACATGCTTCTTGACTGATAATGGGCATAACCTCCTCCTGCATCAATTCTCCATTTGTAAAATGGAAATAATACTTCCTTCTCCCACTTTGTCTTGCCTTTCTTTAGACTGCAGGTTCTTCAGAACTGTGTGTGTGTACATTGTCTAGCATTTTGGGGCTGCAATCTCAGAGCTTCTGTGTTCATCTGTAACTGAAAGCCCCTACTTAAAGCTATCTTAGAGGGTATTTTATAACCAGAATAATTTTGTGCTTGTCAGAATTTTTATTCCATATTTAATATAGAATAAATCATATGCAACCTTCTTTTCCTTATCTGAACACAAGAAATATCTGAACAGGAGCGTTTCCTATTGCATCAGGAGACCTTGCCGGAACAGCTACTTGCTGAGAGGCAGTTGAACCTCAATGACATGCCTGTATTGACTGCACCCCAGCTCATTGATGTAGGTATCTCATATTTTCTCTGCTTAACTTTACCTATGGGCTAATCTGCTAATGTGTCCTGGCTTCAGGTTGAAAAGTAGGTGAGAAGGTGAAAACTGACCTGCCTTTCTGTCACATAAAGGGTAATTGCCCCCCAGTTCTAAGTAAAAATTGCTTGTCTGTACTGAAGTCTCCACTGTGGTGTATAACTGAAATGAAAACTTCAGCATATTGTTTCCAGTTTCTGGTTTATCTTCCTAATTGAACATATGATTTTGGGCATTGCTATGATTGTATGAAATCTTACTAGTATAAGAACTGATGTGCTGCATTGGGGCACCTTTTGGTTGTGACAGCTTTACCCTCTCTTTCCTTCATTGAAGTCCAGCTTGAAGGCTAGAAGTGATACAAAATTGTCAATTTCTGTAAGACAACACTACAAGGGGAAAAAAGGGGAGGAGAGCTGCTAGCTGCATTGACTGCCCAGAGAAGGTCTTTGATACCCATAGAAAATCCCAGCCCTGGGTTTGCTGCTAGGGCTAAAGTTTTTTCATTTGTCCTTTATGTCTTTCTTGAAGTGATAGCTGCAACCACTTGCTCTTACCAGCTCCTGGCCTTGTCAGCCTGTTTTTTCCCACAATCCTGTTATTTGAGCAGGCAGTATTAGAAGTTATTTAGCAAGGACATGAAAAAAATACAAGGTATACACAAGCAAGGACATGAGAAAAGAAGATCCTGTTGGTGTCTGTGCTGAGATTCACTGCTCTGTGTTCAACTTGTACAAAAGCAGGAGCCAAGTAGGCTATGGGGGAGGGAGAGGAGGAAACGTCACTTTACCTCTTTCTGAACTGTTGGCACACTGTCAGCCATCTGGTTTTCCTTTAAATTCCAGCTACTGTCAGATCAACGTCCATTGTCACTGTTTACAACCAGGAAGTAAAACTTGGGAACTGAAAGCAACATGATGTTTATTTTGATTTTAAACCCTTTTTGGGTTTAAAATCAAAATACCTTTTTCATGTAAAACCCTTTTTCATGTAAGTTGGCAAAAAATGTACTCAACGCTTTAAAAGATTGACTTTTGAATTTTGATAGCAAGCGTAGCTGTTTTCAAGAGATGAAAATGTATTCATGTATATATTGCTGCTGCAAGTTTAATTACTGAAATAATTGTGAGAGCCTATCTTATTTGTGGAGTGGGACTCTTGTTACAATAGGCTAGGAATGTTACAGCTTTAAATGGTATTTAAATTTGAAACCTATATTATCACAGCCTTACATTCAATAGTCTTTCCACAGTCCGTTGTCATGTAGGTGGAATGCTGTATTAAACCTCGGAGTATATGTCTTACTATAAAAATACTTGCAGTTGAATAGAGACATATTTCAATGAAAAGGTCACCATAAGTGGAAAATACAGGGTGGTATGGTACTTCCCATGATGAGTTGTTCGCAATATCAATTTACATCTGTTTGCAAGCTAAAAATAATTCTGTACTTTATTCTTTCATACTTTAGCTATACATATGTGATGAGAACAGAAGGGCTAATGAGTATGACTTCAAGAAAGCACTTGATCTGCTGGAATATATTGATGAGGTAGGAAAAGGGATTTGGATGCTCTCAAATCAGAAGTTTTTCTTAATTTGTATGAGCCAGGGTTGTGTTACTGTAAGTGTTACTTAAGAATTACATATTAGACCTTGGAGTACACTAATGGAGGGTAACTTTTTTCACCCATCAGAGATTTAAGGTCAAATGTGATTTAGACTGTATAAAATGGCATTTGTCCTCATAAAGTTTTAACTAGATAAACCATATCTGTTTGTACAGAGAAACTTGACCATCAATAGTCACTCTTCAAACAAATAAAAATGGAGATGCATTCAGTTTTAGGAGGACAACACTTGCCCTGCTCCATTACTAGCAATCTGCCTGCCAAAAGGTGACCTAAAGGAACTTGCTAAATCACCTCAAAATTATTTGATTCCTTTTGGTTTACATTAGTTTGTTTTAAATCTGTCATGGTATAGTTATAAGCACACGGTTTGCTGTCTTTAACTTGCAGCTTTGAGGGGTCGCCATTTCTCTCTATACATTCTTCTAAATTCCCTGTTTATTGGCTATTAAGATACAGGATCTCTCTCTGGGAGCATCACTGGGATTAGCAGCTGTCTTCAGTTAGAAACAAGAGCTGTGCCATCTCAAACATTGTTATTTCAAAATTATCCTGTAAAGGCTGCTGTCAAAGTGCTGGAAAGCATTCCATTGCTTCTTGGAATGGAGAGAATCATCTCTGATATTTCCTGCTCTTTCTAGTCTAAACTTGCATCTGCTTATAAATGGTGCTTTGTGTGTGCTTTCTATGTGAAAAATGTTTGGTTTTATGCTTTATATTAGATCTTACCATATGTAATGAGGGAGGAGAAACATGTTAATGTTTCATAGATTTCATAGACGTTAGGGCTGGAAGGGACCTCGGAAGATTATCGAGTCCAGCCTCCTGCCCAAAGGACAGGAGGCTGGACAGTGTGTTACATTGCTTGGCCCGGAATATTTTCTTTAGCTTGAAAGGATGAGTGCTCTTTACTAGATGCCCTACTTTAACTTTTACATGGTAGAGAAGTGTAAATACCCATGGTTTTGGGTGAGAAGTGTAATATATGGATTAGTTGCATCTGTTTTATTTATTCCTGTTCCTTGTTTCACATCTTGCTGTCCCTTGCTGTAACTGACTTTTAGAGGCTTAGGTCTGAGTAAGAATATACACCCGTGAACGATGCATGCCACCAGCAGCTGGGGGGGCAAGGCTGCGCTGGTGGTAGTGGTAAGCACAGAGCTCCCACAGACGGGGCCGATGCTGTTGGCGGTGGGAGGGGATGGCAAGTGCTGACCAGGGGTCAGCAACCACCTGCAGGTGCCGCTGGCAGCATCGGCAGTGGCCAGCGGTGGTCACAGACTGCCTGCCGACACCGGTGTCAGCAGTACCTTTTTGTAGGGGGTGCACTGCCACGCTCGGGGGTTGTATGTGCACCCGCATGCACCCCCTATGCATTGCCCCTATATACACCATGTCTTGAAGGGCATGAGTTAGACTAAAATTTCTGAGCGATCAAGGTCAGCCCAGCCTGGGGTTACATATGCATCACCCTTGAACAAGCATAGGTGGCCACTGGAATTACAGAATAGGCATGGATATCCAATGTTCTTCTCAGCTTTCCTTGCTCCACTTCGGCAAAAGGTAGGCAGCAAAAAGCCTTGGCTCGCACCCTTGCTTCCAGAATTCCCCGTCTTGGATTTTACCATTTTTCTTTAGAAAGGTATTTAAAGTAGCTGTGAAGCTCAAGAAGTCTGAGAGGAAAACACATGTCCCTTGTAGTGACAACAAAACTGATGGGGCTGAGGGAGGCTTCATGCCAAACCCCTTAGACCTTGTCTGCATTTAAAGGGCTGTCCATGCTAAGATAAATACATATTTTAAATGCATGTCAGCAAACACATTAAAACCCTTGTGTAGATGGACTGTATCGTAACACATGGTAATAAAACATGTCATACCTAGAATGGAATGTAGAGTTTGCATTAACCAGGTAATGCATTAAAAATACAATTGTTGTAGGTACAATAAGCTTTAAAATCCATGTTGGGCAGCAAGTTTTAAAATAGACATCTTTAGCTTAACATGGGTAGGGCTCTATTTATCGTGCATGGGCTCCAGAAAAGCTGGGCTTTGGCTGAAGATGGAGAAAAACAGCTTCTGGTGTTTGAAGAGCCTGAGCCACATCAGGATGTTCCCTTAAAATAGGGATTGCACTCAGATAAATAATTTCCCTCCCCCACTTCCCCATCAGTGCTCCTCATAGATTTACTCTTCTCTGTTAGTAGGTAACTGCTACTCTCCCCTTGCCAAATCTAGGAGAGCTGTTTTCTTAAACTTATTGGCTGAGCAAGTGAAAACTAAAATTGCTGTTCATTTCCTGTCTTGTCAGATATGTTTAAACATCAAAAGGCATTATGCCAAAGCAATACTATAGAGCAGGGGTTCCCAACCTTTTTTTGCTGCAACCCACTGCTGGGAGCAGAGTGCAGCAGCGGGGGAGCTCCTGGCACATGGCGCGGTTCATCATTTGTGTGCAGCACCGCCAGCATTGCCCCTGTGACCCTCATTTGGGTTGTGACCTGAGGTTGGGAACCATTGCTTTAGAGGTTGAATTCTTTTTAAACTATTTTCTGCACTCTCTCCCATCCTCTTTTCTGTGATGTATGTTTAGATTTAATGGAGTCCAGTAGGGCTATGCAAAGCTTCGGTCGCTGATTCAGTTTGGAGGAGATTCAGCCCAATTCAGTGGCCAAATCTCTGAATCTGAATCAAGTCAAAGGACCCTTTAATCTCTCCAAATCAAATTGGAACCCTTCAAATCAATTCAGAGAGATTTGGAAAGATTTGGGATTTGGACATGGAGACAGCTTTAAATGTTTTTTCTACTTGCCTCTAGGTAGCAGGCGGCTTGTGAATGCTGCAGTGCTGGGACGCATGGAGCATCCCACAGAAGCGCAGGGGGGCTCCCCAGCATGCTTGGCAGCAGACCCGGAAGTGGACCAGAAGCACTTCCAGTCCACTTCCAGGTCTGCTGGGAAGCATGCTGGGAGCCCCCCTCAAACCACCCGGCTTGGTGACTGCTGAGGGGGAATGGGGGGCCCCCCAGTGCAGTCCCTGGCATACCTGGAAGTGTCTTCCGTTCCACTTCTGGGTTCACCTCCGAGCACGTGGAGGGCCCCTCTGCACTCCTGTGGGACACTCCATTTGCTGTAGCATCACAGCAATCAGAAGCCGCAACTGCTACCTCAAGGTATGTAGAAAAAACTTTTAAAGTCTTGTCTGTGTCCGAATCTCTGATTCTCCAAATCAGCATCAAATCTTCAGCTGTGGATTCGGATGAATTGAATTGGGAACAGTGACCCAAATCAACTAATTGAATCACTGTCCCTGATTCGGGCCAAATCCAAAGCTGAATCGAATAGGGCCCACTTCGCGCACCCTTAGAGTCCAACTCTGAGAACTTGCTCCAAGAAGAAACTTCATGTTGGTTTTTATTTCACCTGTTTAATGCTTGTTTTGCAGTGTTTCTCCAGGTGCATATATTTGCTTCTACCAAGAAAAATCCAAACTTTTAAAAAGTTTTAACTAAAAATAGGACTTACACATTTTATTTAGGAACTTTGAATCCCAAAGGATACAAAGTACCTAAGCAGATTTTGAAAATCTTTCTTGGGTGATTTTTTTCAGAATTTTACTCTCCAGTCTAATTGGTTAAACCTTCCATTCCTTTCTTTCCTGTCCTAGGATAGCATACACAGTTACTAATCTCTTTGCTCATTGGCTTGATTCCAAGACAAGGTTTTTTCGAGAGCCAGAAGGCTCTCTTCCTGCTCCAGCCTGGCCCCGTAGTAGCAGAAAAATGGGGGGTAGGAGGAGGGGATGGCAGGGGGTGAGGCAGTGGAGGTGGAAACAAGCTGCCTGGCTTCTACTGCTCCTTCCACTGCCTGTCCCCTTACTTTCACCCCTACCACATGGTATCCCCCCTACCGCCTGCCCCTGCTACTCTTTCCCCTCTGCAGTGGTGTGGAGGGGATGAATTTAAGATGATCCTCCAATACTTAGATTCTATACATGAAGAATGATTACAAATGTATACCTTTTCCATGTATGGAATTGAATTATTGGAAGGTGCCCCGTAAATCGACCACACTGTCTTGCTCAGTCAGTGTTCTGGACGAAGGATCAGATTAGAAGTAAATTATTTGCTGTTTTCTAAGATGGGAAAGAATTTATCACTTCAGAGTTGCTTTGTGATTGAGAAATAATGCTACAGCCTGTTGGAGTGTTAATTAAGGCCAATAATAATTTGCTTTCTCTAGTCATCACATGGCTATGTTAATCAGCTCTTTAAACAGGTAAGCAAAACTTGACAACCCAGCTCTTGATGGCACGAGAAGTTTAAGAAGTCTTGTCTCTACTCAAACATTCATCAGTTTAAATAAACCATCTTGGTTAAACCAATATAAATGCTTTGTGGGCATGCTTTTATCAGTTCAGAACTAGTCTAGCACCAACATTGAGACTTATCAATATAAGCTAGGTTTAATTGCTCTGAGTATCAGTATTGCTCTGAGTTGCACCAAAATTTTCACACTTGTGTGTAGACCAGCCCAGCCTAGCAAGACTTTATTTCAGAGGTGTACTGAGGGCTATACTGGCAGGTTTAGAATAATAGACAGTCGTCACTGAGATCAAAAAGACAGTGCCTACATTTATTCTCCCAGCTTCTTCCACTGCATATATTTACAGTTGCTTCTAAGTCATTAATGAAGATTTAAATAAGATGGTACCTAAAGCTGATTGCTGTACCACAACTCTGGGCTTCATCTGTCCAGTTTGATATGTTGCTGTAAATTCTTGCCTTACTTTAAATCCCTTAGCCAGTTGCCAGTCTTAACTGCTATTATGAAAAACACCAAGAGCTGCTTATTCAGGATGTGCCCTTGTTGTTTAAACTGGATAGTATAAGTTCTGCTAACTTCACTTTTTGATCCCCCCTCTCCCACACGTGCACACGTTTAAGTCCTACCTCTGCTAGTTGTTTAGGCTACTTACAAATGTGGAGAAAAAAACAAAATAGCACTTGAAGCTTGGCGTGCCCCCACATGAAGCACAGTGCATGCCCAAAAGAGGCATTGCATTAGTTTGACCTGGCTCACCCAGCATCTGTATAGATCACGTGCTTCAGCAGGCCTTTCTAGCACTTTTATCTAATAAATAGCTGCTTGAATCAGTTATTAGATAAAAGCACGCTTCAGCAGTTATCTGTACAGACTCTGAGGAGCCAGGTCAAACTAATGCACTTCCTCTTCTGGTAAAGCACTGTTTGTTTTCTTTTTTTCACGTCTGTCAGCACCCTTACTGAACTTTTGGGTCCTATTTCTGTTCGTGTCAGATTCTTTTACTGTTAAAGGACTAGGGAACCCATTTGGTTTTAGTTTAATTTTTTGCATCATTTTTGCCAACTTTGCAATAATTTTTGTTCATTGTAATGGATGACGAGTCTAGGGGAAAAACACAGTAAAAGAAGCAGGATTTCTGTCCTAAATTTTCATTACATCTGTAGTGCCATGATGTATGTGTAGGCAGGGGTGAGTGCATTTTACTGAGTTTGTAATGCTTTGCCCTCTCTCATTTTTTTTGGTAAGAATGCGCGCATTACAACTCTTTAAAGCAAATCCCCAAACTCCCATGAAATAGATTGAGGCATGGAGTGGTTATTGTTCTCCTAATGTCAGCAAAGCTAAATGTAGAGCCAGGAACAGAATCCAAGGCCTTTGTGAAATCTGCTACCCCTGCATTCCTTGTGCAAATGAATCTATATGATGAAGACAAAATTTAGGCAAAAAGTGAGTTTTTGGTCTGTTACAGCCCTGTGAAATCTCTGTTGTTCGTTTCCCTCTGGCAGTAACTTGTTGTTCCACAAACTTGCCCAAGTTTTTTGACTTCATAACAAAGGTAAGCAGTTTTGTCTGGCTTAGGCTTTTGTTAGATTAGGTGTTACAACCTGTTTTCTTACTTGAACTGGTGATTCTTCATTCCTTTCTGCCACCCAAGTGGGCAAACAGGAGGTTGTTACTGGCATCAGTCATTCTTTTGCTAACAGGTGTGTCCAGTAACTAAAGAATTCATCCCAGATCTAAATTTGATTAGAACTTGCTTCCTTTCTGAAAAATGTAATTTCCATTTTTTTTTCCATGTTTAATTAAAGGAGGAGGAAGTGGATGTAAATGATCTTAAACTTAAAATTCTGTGCAAGGCTCTTCGAAGAGATGGGTACGTAAAAATTATACATAAATTTAGTGTAAAATGCTTTCTATTCATTACATTGACTTGTTTTTTCCCCCCAGAATTGTAAAGTCTTTATAACTAATATCAGGTTGAGTGGTCTAAACATATGATCAGTAAATCACGAAAAGTTTGCTTAGGGTAAAGTGGTCTGCATATCACCTTCCAAAGATACTTCCGTAACAGTTCATCCACTTATTCCTACAGCAATAATACAGGTATTTTGAGCAAGCAAAAGAAACTAAATCATGTAGCTATTATTTATTTCTGCCCTTTAATGGCCAGTGATCTTGTTAAACTCCCCAGCTTGATAACTATATATGGCTATTGGTTTCTTTGGTACAACATTTGAGATTCACTGAGCATGCTTAGCAACATCCTAACATGGTGCCAGTTTTTTTTCTTCTTCTTATTACCACTCTATCCCCAGGCTAAGGAGGGAATAAGACTCACCCCCCACCTCCCTTTTCCACAGTAAAACTAGGAATGAAATCTGGATGCTATTGAAGCCACACAGACTTTGCTGTTGACGTAACTGAAGCCAAGATTTCACTGTGGCTGTGATGAGATTTTTTTTTTTGGTTTAATGTAGGTGATTGAAGGCCAGCCTCAAACTGGCCCAAAAGCACACTTTCCATTGGCTTGATGAATACTTTAACCCAATCTTTGACAACTCCAGGGTTTTTTTAATGAAACTGCTGATACTTGACATAAGCACCAGGACGTAGCAATAATTGAAATATCCAGTAGGGAGGTTATTTTAAATCAGAATTTTTCTTTTCTGGAGCACTTGTTAAAATAATTCTTAAAGGGGCTTCAGCAAGAACCTGACCTTTGCATGGGGATAATTCAGCATTCTTCAACTACATTCTGGGACCTGCACAGCTCAGATGACTGGTTGTGTGCTGACGTGTTGGCTTGTACTTTTAAACTTTTCACTCAATCATTGTTTGCTACTTATTTTCTAAAAGAATATTTAATAAATTTTGTTTGCTGCTTTGTTCTATTAAAGAATATGCCTTTTTTACACAGAATGCTTACTAGAATGGTTATTGTAGGGTGATAACTGAAATAATAGCTGTAATTAGTCGGTTTTGAGTTTTCTAATGAAATCAGGCAGTTTTCTGCTCGGATACTTCAGTAATTGAGGAGGCATTTCTGTTATCTTCTTTACTGTATTATCCTAAAATATTCTGAAAATGTTACTAAGATCTTATTCTTGAAATGTAGAAAAATAGTAGCACTTGCTTTCAGCTGTAGAAATTCACACAACACAGATTTACTCTAGGAAAATTTATTAAACAGTTTTAACACTTAATATGGTCTCTTACATGGTAACATTTTTCAGGATACTGACATTCTCATGTTGAATTCACTCTTCAAAATGCCATTTTTTTTCTTTGTGACTTGTAGTTGGTCCAGTTCAGAAGGTAAAGATGATCCAATTGAAGCATCCAAAGACAGTATATTTGTGAAAATATTACAGAAATTATTAAAAGAAGGTAACTTTTGTCATCTGTTGTACATTTCTTGAAGTTGCCAGTCTTATTTTTAAATTTACTTAAAATTAAACACCTATCTAGGAACAAAAATAACACAACCAAGTTTTAAAAAAAAGAAAATAGCATCAATAAACTTCTTGATTGAATGTATATCCTAAATCACTATTCAAAATCTCCATATTGAGGGTGAGAGGGCAAAGAATATACAAGTTCCTTCTGGTTTGTAATTTTTGTACTTCTAAACAATCTTCAACAAGAAGACGCTTCAGTTTTGTGGTGGGGAGGGTCATTTCAATAGGTGATTACCTCCTCCTCAGGCAAAAAATCAATTCAGAGATGGGAGGAATTAGGACTCCAGGACTGTAACTGGTTTAAGTGGCATAGCTTAAACTTTTTCACTTTGAAAACTAATACTTTGAGTTGACACCTGCTAAATAAAGTTACAGCTCAGAAGGAATTTTCTGAGGAAAAAAATATAGACAACTGAAAGGGTTAGAATGGAAACTCAGTGTTAAAAAAATAATAACAATTTGAAAAAACTATTGGTGAATATGAGAAGCTTGCATAATATGCGAGCTCTTCAGAACATTTGTATCTTGTGTTTTCATGCCTTTCCATTTCTAAGCTTTGAGTGTGTCCTGCAACCCAGGCTGAAACATTGGTTTTCTTGACATACGTCAAGCAAAAATATATTGCAACTGACTGAATTATCCAGCTAAATTAAAGTTGGCCCAAATAACTGATTTAAGCAAGAGATTTAGATTTGATAGAGGCACTTTGTGGGGCTTTACAATTTCAGAATAATTTCTTTATTGATATGACATTCAAATTTATAAGAGGCTAGATTGGTTATAGAGGGCAGGGTGGTGGGTATTAGAAGAAAAAAATGGAAAAAGGCCAAGTTAGGGGAGGACATGTCTTAATCTTTATCTTAGAGTCACAGTATTACAGAACACTTCAGGGTTTTTTGAAATTCATGATGCTAGTGCAGTAGAATCAGGATAGGTTTCCTCGCTTCAAAATAGTAATGCATCATGACACTGAGCATTCTTTCTAAATATTTTACAATTTATATAACAAGGTTTTGTGTTGTAGGAGTTCAGCTCAGTGAATATTTACCAGAGGTGAAGGACTTGCTACAGGCAGATGAACTTGGCAACTTGAAATCCAATCCTTACTTTGAATTTGTGCTGAAGGCAAACTATGAACTGTATGTTCAGGGACAAGCATGATTTTTTTTAACATTTTTGAAAGTACATTTTTCTAAAGAACTATTAAAACAATGTATAATTTTTTACATGCTGTTCTTACTTTGCTAAATCTTTATAATAAAATGTATACAGTAAGTCATGTGTTTGGTCTTGGAAACTCATAATTATTAAGCTACTAATAAGTATTTGCCTCTACTATTGGAATGCACTCTCTCTCCCCATTGGTTTCTCTTTTCTGAACCTTTCAGTATCAGGGTTGTGCATTTTTGTCCAGCTTATAGAATGACTCAATTCTAAAGATGTACCAACATCATGGGTGAAATCTCAGCCCTGATGAAGGCAATGGTTTTGCCTTTAACTTCATTGGGGCCAGGATTTCAGCCCACAGGTATGTGCTGTGAAAAATGGAACGAATATTAGATGATGGCTGTGTAGCTTTTTACAAGAAACGAAAGTCCAAGTCTCTATAAAATGACACTAAAAATAAATAAATAAATGGTCTCTATTAAACTTTACATGGATACAGTAGCACCTTTTGATCTCAAAATATCTGTGCCATACAAAGGTAGATGGATTAACCTCCCTTTTACAGAAGAGGAAACTAGCCCAAAGTGAGTCAGCTGTCAGTAGCAGATGAAAATAGAAGGCAAGTCTCCTAACTCCAAGTCCCCATGTTTAGCAAATGTACAACATGTAGGTGCATTAATTTTACAGATACATTTTCAACAAATTCTGACTAGTAACTTTTAGGTGAAAGCTACAAATGTAGGAATTATCTACAGATGTTAACAGTACATCTAAAACCATAAGAATTTTAGAGCTCACTATTCAGTCATTTCCAATGCGTGCCTGAGCCTAGACTCCCTGGAAACCTAGAAAGCAGTTATCGAAGTGGGAGTCCAGCAAAGACCTTCCTTTACTCGACGGCTCATTCTTTACAAGTTCACATCAACTTACCAGGGTTTGCTTATCTCTGGCACGATGAGAAAAATATCCATGTAACACTTATGTTCTCCTGATGGTCCTGATACTCAAATGGTAGCAAGATTAATCTAAAATCAGATGAAGATTGCTTTAATTTGACAAACTGCAGGAGAACCATACTTTTCACGAATAGTTTAACATCCAGAGAATGAATGCAGAGCAAGTTGTATACCCTTATGCCTTACTTTCCCTGGCTATCTGCCTGCTGAAACAACTTGATCCAACAGCTGAGAAGGTCATAAGTTAAATTAGTTGAAGAGAATCCAATCTCTGGTTTAAAAAGTACAGCTACCATTCTGCTGCTTCCCCCTCCTCCCTGTGCAAATAAAGTGCTCTGGGCTGAAAGGCTGAACATGTTTGGAAGAATAGACCTATCTAGAAATGTTCTAACTAATATGGGAAAGAAGAGCAGTAGCAACCTTGGAAAGTCACCGCTGAATTAAACTTAATCTGTTTTCACAGCACTGCATAGCTGTGAGACTAGTGGGTGTAACTAGTAGCTGTATCTTTAAACAAGTGCATAATTCAGAGTATTAGGATTTTACTGGTAAATGATTTTTAAATTGAATGTGGTCTGAAATAATTTTAAAAAAACCACAAAAAACCCTCCATAAAGTCTCTTTATACCAAAACATGGTCAACAGCGTGAGCCAAAAGGAACCTCTGCGTAGGTTGCTGTACATGATCAAGGTGGTAATCTGCTAAAATCATGAATCAATCTAGATATTTGGTGCTCATTAAACTATATTAAGGGCTGTTTTCTTACCTTTTCTCCATTTCAGAAAGCCAATGTTTAAGCGGTAATGGACAGACCATGTTTCTCCTGAATAGTATGAAGCCTACCTTAAGGTCTCAATAAGTCACAGTCCATGTCATTTTCACAATTAAGATTTTGCTTTAGTACTGATGCAGAAGGTACCTGTCATTAATGCAGCACCTTTCATCTAAGGAACTCCAGAGTGCCAGGCCATAGACAGTAAATTTCAGGGGGGAAAAGCATTTTAAATAGCTCTTCTGTATTTCAAGTTACTTACAATTAAATAGTTTAATATTAGGAGTGGTATATTTGTTGCCAGTTCAGTGTGAAGTTTTAAAAGGTCAGGATTATTGGATGTTCTCCCTTTCCATATGCTAGGAGTCATTCCACTTGATTCCATTTGAATTTCTGCCTCCATTTGGCAGATGAGGCCCTAAGAGCACAGGAGTTGCACATTTTTGCAGCTTGTTATACATTTGCTCCCAATTCCAAGCTTTACTGATAACTGTGAGGGGGCACCCCTTTGTAGCCTTTTTCTTGTAGACTTGCCTTATGTCAAATAGTTTATGAAGAAGCAGCTTTCAGTTGGCACTGGATTTGAATTCCACAGATATCAATTTTGTTTTGCAGCTTTTTGGATCCAAAAAAAATTACAGTACAATGTAACAGTGGCATTAATGAAAGTGTTCCTACCACAATGTTTGCTGCCTAGCTAACCCTTTTTACATGAGAGACTGTTTCAAATACATTTATGCTATATGTTTTATGGATTAAATTATGCGTGACTTAATGTCGATCCTTCAACTGTTGCATCTAGAAATTACAAAAGTGAGTAATGGGAAATGTTGTGAGACTGATTTTTGTATCAAGACCAGCCTAAGAAATTAGACACCCCTCTGTAAAGACCAGTTTTCCTCTTGGCTGTACTGTGGTCTGACTTAGCTCTCTTGTGACTGAGCTTGTGCACACATGCACACAAAACCCAGCAAGCTAGGCATAAAAGGCTAAATGGATCTGTTTTAATTCTAGGGAAGGTATCTGGGAAATGGCCTTTTACTTGGAACAATAAAGAATATTGCTACCAGGCATTTTTCTGTATTAAGTTGAATTGCTATTATTCATATTACAATATTGAGGAGATACCATGACAACTGTAGAAAAAAGAAAAATGGTGTATGTCCATGACTTGTCAGATTACATTAAAGACCACTGATAATGCATACCTATCTGTGGCAGAGCTCATACAATTAAACATAGAAGTTGAGTTGAAATTCAACACCTGAATGAAACTTATCTGTAGTTTATAGAGTCTGCAGCTGCCCATTGCAGTTACTAAAAGATTTCATTATTGATGTGATTGCTTGAAATCCCCAAAAGTGATTTTTCACTTTGGACTAGCATATTTTGAATTGTAGACAAGAATTGGGAAAGGAATGGAAGGAAGGGGGAAAAAGGCAACACTTTTTTCCCCAACAGGAATTAAGTCATTAGCACAGCAGGAAGTGGAAATAGGAGAGTGGAATAAAATGCCATAGGGTGCAGCCAGAGGTGAATGGAAGAGCTGCCAAACTAGGAGATGCAGAGATTAAATGTTAAAGAAGTCAAGTCTCCTACCCCTAGATAAGCCTAGCTGCCTCTGAAATACATCAGAAAATGTGCCTCTGCTTCCATGGGCTTCCTGATAGCAGAGACACCCTCTGGTAGTGCTTCTTCCACCAACTGGGCAAAGGATTTGTCTTTAGCTAGCCCTACCCTCATTTCCCTATAGCAAATTCAGCCAACTACACTGGCTCCTGGGGGTTAGACTGCACATTAGGTTTGCTTGCATCATCTTTTACCTGATCCTCACTTCCCAAAGTAACAAACTATTCTAAATAAAGGCTTTCAGCTCTATCAAATGGAATCTGCTTAAATATTCAGACCTGAGGTGAATGAATATTGTTCCCTTTTATTTAATGTTGTGGTAGGTTCATCTAGTCAAACAGCTGAGCTCTTGAGACTCATCTACCTCTTACAAGGGTTGAGCTGTTATGATTCACTCATCAGACTGCTCTATAACCTGCGGAGCCCAGCAGGGCAATGTCACAACTGTCAAATGCACCAACCCCCCCCCCCCCC